AACGTTCCTTTCCCCCCTGGTGTTAAAACCAGCCAATAGCCGTCACCCTCCACGGCTTTCTGTGGGTGACGGGCCATGGTGACAATTCTGTTTGTGCAGTGGCGGAGGAAAAGGAGAGCTGACGGATAATACTGACAGTGCTGGCCAGGAGCGCTGGGTGTGGGGTCCCCTCGGTCTGGATCCTTAGGGTCTCCCGTGACGATGAATGATGGCTGGCAGAGGCTAGCCAAACAAAGCATGCCCAGCCAACCTGAGGACAGGGTTGTGAGTGACACAGTTCCCCGGGGGAGGGAGGGCTGCCTACGAGTCGCCAACTGCTCCAGCTCCAAACGCAGGCTTCGGGCTGCTAGGGAAGAGCTGCCTGAAAATGAGGTGGTTTTACCAATTCTAAGGAACCCTCCCTTCAAGGAGCTCTCCCATCCTGTGTGAGTGATGCGCACACTCGTCAGTTCATTTTCACTATTCATACATCCATGCTCATGTGTTTCATTTACTTGCTGAACTAATTTGCTGAGCGTCCACTCTGCACCAAGCACTGTGCCTGAGGAACGCTCGAGGCAGCGTGTAAGAAGACCCTGACGGAGGCGAGGCAGGCTGTCATAGCTTGTCTTCCGAGTACCTTAGTAACGCGCAGGGGAAGACGCCTGGGGGCCTGGAAAATACTAACAGCCTTATGAAGACTGCAGCTTTGAAGGCTTGCAGATGACTTGTCTGTAATAAGCTTCTTTGTCTTCCAGGTCCGAGAGGATTTCCTGGCCCACCTGGCCCTGATGGGTTGCCAGGATCCATGGGGCCCCCAGGCACCCCGTCTGTCGATCACGGCTTCCTTGTGACCAGGCACAGTCAAACAATAGATGACCCACAGTGTCCTCCTGGGACCAAAATCCTTTACCATGGGTACTCCCTGCTCTACGTGCAAGGCAACGAACGGGCGCACGGCCAGGACTTGGGTGAGTCACAGCTGCCCGCCCGGCGCCCTGTCCTCCCTCTCTGCGGGTCTGTGCCATGGGCAGCAGGCAGGGCTGGCCCTCCTTCCCTCCATCCTCGTTAAAGGGACCATCAGCTCAGCGGCTGCCGTCTTCGACTGGGAAGCCAGGAACTACAAAGGCTGACTCTGGAAATGTCTAAGTTAAAAACCGTCGCTCTCACCTTTACATTATCACGTAGGGTCAAGATTCCTAACAGTGATACTCTAAAATAGAACGATTTAACTCTTGCCTATTTATTTTTATTTCTAAATTTCTTTATTTCTTCTATGAACACATGAGTGAGAGACAGGCACCCCCAACGGTGTCCCAGTGCCGTGACCCGCCCCCAGCTTCAGCCAGCCCTTGGTCGTGGGCACACATGTGCCCATGTACTCAGGGAGGTTTCTAGACACAGATCTGGAACCTTCCTCCGTATGTCCGCCTCAGCGCTGCGTTTGCTGCTGAGCCTCTCCAGACTCTGTTGCTCTTTTTAAAAAAATGCTCAGACAAGACAGTGGCATGGTGGTTAAGGTAGCTGGATTCCACATGGCTGACTGTACAGTTCGAGTCCTGGACCTGGTGTCTTGAAAAGCATGCCAGGCACGTGTGCAGGCATGTGCACAATCCTGAGAGGAGAAGAGTTGAAGAGGTTGTGGTGTGACCATCTCCCCTGCGGTGATCTTCTCTCTCTCTCTCTCTTGTTCTTTCTCTTTCCAGCAAGTGCACACACTCCGTAACAAAACAAAACCAAAAAAAGAGAAAATGCTCATGTTATCCTTCCTGAAATTCTGTCCCCCTCTCAGTTCAGATGAGCAGAAACCTGCGTATCTACCTCCTTATCTCAGTCTCTCCAGATCTTGTCCCCCCAGTTATGTGTCAACGCTCTCCGTCATGTAATGGTTCACATGTTAAATTGCTTCTAGAATTCAGTTCCAGGGAAAGATTTCTCTCTGCTGGTAAACTGGTTTATTCCTTTTCCTAAAAATGTCCTGCACAATTCCAGGGACACAGTGTGGGTGTCCCTGTGCCCGAAGACTAAGTTTAAGGGAATGCTCAGTTAGGATTATTCTGGTCTATTTGCTGTCTACTTTCTTCTCTCTGATAACAAGGAAAACGTGTACATCTCCATTTTAATGGTTCTGTTGCAAACGTGCATGAGATTGTGGGCCAGCTGACGTGGGTGGGCTTTCCCCAGAGGGGATGGGGACCGTGGAGAGAGGGCTCACGGGCTCTCGCTGTGCAGGCACGGCGGGCAGCTGCCTGCGCAAGTTCAGCACAATGCCCTTCCTGTTCTGCAACATCAACAACGTGTGCAACTTCGCCTCCCGGAACGACTACTCCTACTGGCTGTCCACGCCCGAGCCCATGCCCATGTCCATGGCGCCCATCACGGGGGACAACATCCGGCCCTTTATTAGCAGGTGAGTCGCGCGTTTGCCGCCCGAGCGTATAACTGAAGAAGGAGATTCGTGGAGTGGGCAGTTGTCAGATTCGCTTTGTTCATTCTTCCGCAGAACGTGGATGCGTTGCTGCTGCGTATTCATGTGATAGCCAAGCTTTGCAGTGGAAATTAGTGATAAGACTATTGGGTATAAAGTCGGCTATTCTTTCTAAAAGTTGTGCAGAACCGTGGCGAGACACTGCCTCGTTTAGAGAACTGTTCCTTACGGCTGAGTGTGGCCGCCCTCCCCTCCCAGCCCCGTACACCGTGGCTCCTTCAGCCAGTGTTGGAGCGGCGGCCCTTGACCCCCCGCCCCCCAGGCGCCTTTAAGACATTGGGAAGACCTCTGCTCACATGACGATTTTAAACATTTCAGTTGTTTGTGCTACAACACACACACCATCAAATTAGCATGTCCGCGGTGCTAGGTGTGCAGCGCGGGCCGTGAGGTATGCCTGCACCGTTAGGCAGGCCGCAGGGCATCAGCACCTCCCTCGCTGGAGCACCTGGGCCTTGCACAGCTGCAGCTCCACCCGCTTTACTTCCCGCCTCTTTGCACTTGACAGCCTTGGTGCTGTTATCGGCAGACGCGGCCTTTCCGTGGCAGGTGTACGCATTCAGCTTGATGACCCTGAGGTAGTCTGTGGTAGCGCATGTCAGCATTCCCCTCATTTTTAAGCCACATTGTGTTCCATTGCACGTACGTGCCGCCTTTGGCTTGTCCGCTCTGCGTCCTGGAGACACGGTTGCTTCCTCCTCGTGGGTTTTGTGAACGACGCTGTTACAAACACAATTGCATGGATGCCTGCTTGAGACCCTGCTTTTAATTTGGGGGCTGTATACTCAGAAGGGGACCCGCTGGGTCACATGCTAATTCTATTTTCAGTGTTCGAGAACCTTCCATATTGTTTTCCACCGTGGCCTTCCATTGCAGCCCACCAATGGTGCCTAAGAGGTCCCATTTCTCCGTCTCCTCACCAACACCTGTAGTTTCCTGCGTTTGCGATAGCAGGCCACCCCGATGTGTAGAACGCCATGCCGCAGACACATCGTACTGCCCCGATTATTGTGCGCCGTGTCTGTTCTACATATAGATCTATTTTATACATGAAACCAAAAGATAATGTTTCTTCCACACTGCCTTCCCTAACCCCCTCGTTTCTCCTCCTTGGGGTGGTCCCTGGTAAGAGTGACTGTGCTTGCCTGAACGACTTCCCGAGTCACCTGTCATTGCACTCAGTCGAGTGTGTGCTCGGGTCCCCAGGAGTCCACCTGGTAGGACTATGGGAAGCGGAAATTGCTGCGCCTGAAGATGACACATCAGTCTACCTTGGCCCTGTCCTAAGTAAAAGGCAGCTGACTGCTTAGCTACTGTCAGGAGAGTCATGAATCAATACATGCATTTGACTAATAACCTATTTTATATTTTTACTTTTTACGCATTAAGATAATAATGGATAAAAAGAGTAACCAGTCAGGAGGTTTCCCACAGGAAAAGGAAAGAAACAAACAAAGCTTCTCTTTATCAATGGCTTTCGAATTTAAAAGAAGACGTGGCATGGGGCCAAGGGGAAGGGGAAGGGGGACACCCCAGCTCCTGCCTGGGCGCAGAGAGGCCCCTCAGCTCCACTCTGTCCCCGTGACCCCTCCTGCTGGGGTAAAGGCGTTGGCTCCGGTGCTGGCAGGTCCTGGCGGATCAGTGTTACTAACGGGGAACCCTGGGGCAGAAGAGCTGGGAGGTGCTACTAGGGAAGAAAGTCGGGGTGTGACTGCCTACAGTAAAGTATTCTGACCATTTTCGTGTGTGTGTGTGTGTTCTAAGGAAACTTATTTTATGGATCTTAAAATGGAAAATATTGCTCACGTGCAGAGTGGTGCTTTCAAGCACCACTGTCCATGAACCCTGACTTTTGGTCTTAAGATCTTTCTTGTTCAGAGCCATGCCCTATACACCGGAGGAATACTAACAGCCTATGTGGGTTTTTTTTTTAGCTTTCCGTGGACAACAGGTTAGAAAATGACTATTCTTTTATATGTCTCCTATTCACTTCTTTGTAATGCTGGCATTTGACCTGGATTTGGTTGAAGACACAAGTTCCCCGGAAGGTGTTGATGTTAGCAAAATCCGGTCCAGGAGGAGCTGTGGGTTTTCCACAGCCCGGCCGGCAAGGCGGCTCTGGCTCTCACAGCCGCCAGGACCTACACTGGTTACATGTTCCAGAGCTTCACCTCTCGGGGCTCGTGACTCTTCTGTTAATAAGATTCTTTCATCTCGAGCAGAAAAGAGCAGCTTTACTGCTTTTATCCTGATGTAGAGCCGGGTGTTCTCTAGGCACGCTCCGACTTTCTGAAGATGAAAGTCACCAGAGACCGCTGACTGCTCACTGCTCAAGTGGACAGGCCCTGTCTACGTGCCAGGAGAACTGGGTCTGGTTCTGGCTGTGATGCAGCTAACCAGGACCCGTTTCCTTAGAAATGGCACGGGGAATAGCCAGCATGCATTCAAGGGCCCAGACCGCTCCTTAAACCCGTGTGTTTTCTAGCCTCCCTTCTGGTTGGGGCGAGGTTGCTTCAGTGGCGTCCTTGGGCCCACCTGGCCAGAGACAGCCCAGTGGCCAGAGCTCCTGCAGCAGCCCCGCCCTGACTCTGGCAAGAGGGTGGTGTGTGTGTTAGCTGCGTGTGGGGACAGATGCGGAAGGCCGGTTCCAGGAACTGTTGTTTAACTGCAACTTTTGCCTACATTTGTGTGAATAAAATAAAGTTTCATCTGCTACACATGCACGAGTCCAGAGAAAATCAAATAGCTAGTTCAGGCTCTTTGCCTGCTTTCCGTCCATTTTCATGCAAATGTTCCGACATAGCAAGGTGTGATTATTCACGCCATTTACCATCCTTTGTCAGCACTGTTGATGTTCCGCCCCTTCTATGATGCAAGTGTAATTATTTTACTGCTGGTGGCTAATTTTTTTTTTTTTTCAACAAAGTCCTATCCTACCAGCAAGGCTTCCCTTAGCTGAGCAGGTCTCAATGAAGGGAATACTGTGCTGTTTCACTCTATTCCTGGGTGCAGGCCCAGTGGTGAGCTTTATCCAGCCTGGTTTGGAGGAGTCCTGTCCCTGGAGGGATTTCTTGGGGGTCACTTCAGCTGGAGTGAGTGACAGCCTTCGGCCTTGAACAGCCGAGACCCTATCTGCTCGCTTTATCTGGAACCAGGTTCCGCAAGGAGGCGCGAGTACATATTCAGCCTCAAGTACACATGCGGTGCGTTAAGCCGCGGGCTTGCTCGTTCACTAAGTGCATTCCTTACGTTAGAGATTATTCGCAGCTTAAAACAAACGGGGGAGTCCGGAAGTGGCAGCCCTGCTCTCCTGTGGGTGCTGATAACGTGCTCCTTGTAAAAACTGGAAACACTGAGAGCACAAAGCTGAAAACAAAAGTCCCCTGCAGCCGCAGCCCTGGCCACCGCCCGGCTAGAGCGTGGAGCGCTGGTCCTCGCCCTACGGAACGCGTGGAGACCGGGAGTGTGGATCCAGTTTGGACCGGTGTGTTTCCATGCCCACACAGGCTAATGAAACCAACCGGAAGGCACCTCCCTGCGGTCTAAGCGACAGGCACGGGCTGGCCACTGGTCAGGATGCGATGGAACCAAAACGAGAGGGGGGCCGGGTGGGCCAGGTGGTGGTGGACCAGTGCTCCCGGCGCCCGCGTACTGAGTCTCGTGCCTTCCAGGTGCGCCGTGTGTGAGGCTCCCGCCATGGTGATGGCAGTGCACAGCCAGACCATCCAGATCCCGCAGTGTCCCAGCGGGTGGTCCTCGCTGTGGATAGGCTACTCCTTCGTGATGGTAAGTCCTGGACAACTTCCTGTTTCTGTGGGAGGGTTCCCTGCACCCCAAGAAGGTCATATTGCCTTTTCCAACCAATGTCACAGCGAATCCAAATTCTGTGGCCCCTCCCCCTCAGCTGACTGTCCCCTTCAGGAGCACACACAGAGGCCAGCCTGCTCCACTTGGGGACGGCAGGGTCTTCAGGCCAGACAGACAGCACCCTCCCCCCATGCTCTGCGCCATGCAGCCGGGATGAGGCTCTGCAACCCTGTTCCCCCCGCCCTGTTCCCGTCACCCCAGCAGTCTAAGCTCTCCTGCACACGGAACGGAGCTGGCCTGCCCATGCCTCAGAGCAGAGAGCGTCAATTGGGGGCAGGAGACTGCCTCCTCCAGTGAGGCAGTTGCCCGTCTAGAAAGTCCTCACGTGCAGTGGGCCCTGCTCCCGTCCCTGGCATGTGGCCGAGTGCTTGGGCAGAGCCTGTGCCCTGGCAAACAGGAGCAGGTGGCTCCCCAGAGGGCTGCCCAGCACCCTGGGAATGGTCAGTCCGTCTCCTGGTCTTGGAGAAAGGAATCTGACTCCTGGCTCACGGGAATCTCGCAGCACACCAGCGCTGGTGCCGAAGGTTCTGGCCAAGCCCTGGCATCTCCCGGGTCCTGCCTGGAAGAGTTCCGAAGCGCGCCGTTCATCGAGTGCCACGGCCGGGGGACATGCAACTACTACGCCAATGCCTACAGCTTCTGGCTCGCCACTATAGAGCGGAGCGAGATGTTCAAGTGAGTCGGGCACCCCTCTCGCCAGCTGTGCTTGGCTTTTATTCTCAGTCTTCTGTGACCCATTACCCAGTGCAGCCCCCGAGCTGGTCGTGAGACTGTCACCAGAAAGGCTGCTCCCACGTGCAGCGACAGGTCTTGGCTTCTGCCCCAGGAGAGGAAAACCGAGAGGGTTTTCAGAGGCAGGAGTTAGGTGCTTGGCTTCGAGCATCCACTTACTGAAGAGTTACGAAAGAAAAAGATCATTTTCCTGGGCCAGCAGGTGGTATGTGATTAAGTGCTGGATTCCCACATGGCTGATACTGGTTTGAATCCCGGACCTAGGGGGACTTGAAAATCGTGCTGTGTGTGCGTGCCCCAAATCCTGAGAAGGGAATGGAGGAGAAGGGATTGCGACATAGCCATCCCTCCTCGGGGTAATTTCTGACTTTCTTCTCTCTGACGTTCAGGTTGTACCAGTGCTGGGAGAGCTAATGAGAGTTGGAGGTTTTTTTTTGGTTGTTATTTTTTGTTTGTTTGTTTGTTTAGTTTTTTTTTTTTTTTTTTTTTTGAGAGGTTTTTGCTATAGGGCGTGTGCACTCTCCAGAAAGACAGAGAGACAGAAAGCGAGAAATCATCCCCAGGGGGGATGGCCATGCCGCAATCCCTTCTCCTCCATTCTCCTCTCGGGATCTTGGGCACGTACGCACACGCGCCCGGCATGAGTTTAAGTCACCGGGTCTGGGACTCGAACCGTGGTCGAGTACATGGGAGTCCAGTGACATAGCCATTATGCCTGCTGCTGGTCCCAAGAGAGTTGTTTTTAGATCTGTGCACATAGAAATTAATTTCAGCACAAACACAGCAGAAATTGATAAAGACCCTCCTTTCTTCCCTGGAGCGGAAATTCCACCTTGAAAACCACCACTCCAAGTGCTGCTTGCCTCGTGGGTGCTAATTTGGAGGCAGCCCGTCTCCCACGGGCAGGAGCTCATAAAGGACTCCGGCTGCGCGTGGTGCCAGCTCTGGCCTCTGAGCAGGCGCTGGAGCCCGACGGCGCTTGGGCAATGACCTATTCGTTCCCAAAATAAATGCCCCCACCCTGGAGATGAGCCACTGTTTACATTTTGTAGAGAATTACATGGAACTCTGCCATGATCCGCTGTCCCCGGCTTAGGTCCCAAGGGGCAAAGCAACGTATTTGTTCATCTTAATTTTTGGAGCATCGAAAAATGTACCACATAGGACCAGCAGTTGGTGTGGCGGGTCGCATTGCCTACTCTGCATTCAGGCCCAGACTTGGCGGCTTAAAAAACATGCTGGACACATGTGCATGTGTGGCCAAAAATCCCAGGAGGGGAGTGTAGTAAAAAGGACTGTGGTGTGGCCATCTCCCCCAGGGGTGATTTCTCACTTTCCCTCTCTCTCTTCAGTGAGCACATATGCCCTATGGCAAAAATATAAAAAAAGAAATACCACATACCTATTTGGTAGCTTATAAAAGGCTTTCTGGGCAGCTAGACACTGGGCACGACTGTCTAGACAGAATGTCACGGTTAGCTACTGGAACGAGCCCACCTGGGTCCTACCTCAGGAGCTGCAGCCTCCCATTCCAGGCAGGAATGGGGGTTAAACCAGCAGCCTGGTACAGTGAGCTAAAAAGCCTTCTCAGCAAAGTCAGATAAGGATCCATTGTTTTGAGGATACTAAATTGTTACAGTAAGCTGCTGCCTCAAATTTAGAACAATGCATTCTTATACACAGCTTTTTCTACAAGTTTGTTGTGGTTGCTATAAGGCATGTGTGCTTGCTGGAGAGAGAGAGCACGAGGAAGGGAGAAATCGGACCCCCACCCCGCCCCCCGAAGATGGCCATGCCAACCGCAATCCCTGCTTTTCCATTCTCCTCTCTGGACTTCGGGCATACAGGCACACACACCTGGTGTTTTTCAAACTGTGGTCTGGAACTAGCTGAGCCTGTCCGTGTGGGAACCAGCTGCCTTTCCTCCGTGCCACCTGCTGGCCCCTGCAGTTACTTTAATTGCAGTAGGAATTTGTCCACACTAACTGTAGTTCAGATCTCACCTCTGCAACAGTCAGATAAGGTGGGATTTCTAGGGTCAAGAAGCATTGGGGACATGCGTGCCTTTTCTTCTCTGTAGCCTCAGGTCAGACTATCGGTGTATAAGGCCTTCGAAGCCTATAAAAGCACGTCGGGGTCTAATTGTCCTCTGCAGAGTTTCTGTGCACGCACGCCATTCAGCATGTTTTATGAACACACGGTGTGTGTAAAGTCTGCAGAGGGTGACAATCTCTAATTCTCACCCTGCAGTTTATAACCTAGTTAAACAAAAAGGGCAGTTGTCACATGTTAACCCGAGGTGGCCGGGCTGCCCTGTGGGAAGCCAGGCAGAGGTGGGCGGTCATAGCTGGGTGGCCGAGTGGCCAGTGGCCTCCGGGCTGTGGGCTGGGAGCACCACCCTACCTCCCCTGTGCTGCTCTGAGAAGGAACGGCAGGCCCTGGTTAGTGCCGGGCTGGGGCAGTCGCAGGTGCCTCTGCACCTGTAGACCCTGCAGGCGGAGCGACAGGGCGGCTTGCGCGGTGGCCGGGGTGGGGAAGTGATGGCGCCCTGTGCTGCCTTGCAGGAAGCCCACGCCGTCGACCTTGAAGGCAGGGGAGCTCCGCACGCACGTCAGCCGCTGCCAAGTTTGCATGAGAAGAACATGAGGACGCAGCCCTGCGCTACTGTCCCGACATGGTGCTACTCCTCCTCCTCGTTTTAACAGCAACGAACCCTAGAAATATATCCCGTGTACCTCACTGCCCAGTATGAAAACCATAAAGTGCCTTATAGGAATTCGCATAACTAACACACCCTGCTTCATGGCCTCTACTTGCTGACGGAGAGAAAGGCAACCATAAGCTTTCAATAGTGGTAGCCAAATGGCACTTCTGATGAAATAAAGTGTCGGTATGTCCTACGGCCCGGTGCACTGAGGTGCGAAGTGTGAGAACTCCATCAGAACCCAAAGGTGCTAGGGCGCGGTGCCTCTACACTGCCAGCCGCTGCCATTCTTGTCCTAGGGAGTCGTCCCCCAGGTGTACATGTTTGTTTACATCCCCGTCTAGCCGTCTCCAAATTCAGGTCCCTCATCTGTGCCGAGAACAGCAATGCAGAGATGGCTTTCTCGTACCTCCATGATTTCAGACTCAGTAGCCATCTCTTCCAGCCCGAGTGTCAGCTGCCATCTTTCTGCTGTGTGGGGTACCATGCAGCCACCATGCAGAGCACAGCGTTGACGGTCCCAAAGCAGTCAGAAATTAAATATATATATATTTTAGTAATTTATATAAATGTCAGCAATTAGGCAGATCCGGTTTTAGTCTCACTCCCACGGTTGAAATAAAGCTTTCCTAGTTTTCTTCCTTTAAACGTGCTGTCCTTCCACACGGGTGTCAGACACTAAGATACTGAATGTGAAATGCCAGTTTTCATCGTTCACTTCCAAGCCAAAATGACCTATTGCCAAAACCAAACCCAGGTTCATGAACGTGGTGTCTATCACAGTGAAACATGTACGTTGAGCTTATTGTTTTTATTCTGTATTAAATACTTTCAGGGTTTTAAACACTAATCACAAACTGAATGACTTGACTTCAAAAGCAACAACCTTAAAGGCCTTCATTTCGTTAGTTTTCCTCATTCCGCATCTTGGCGAGAAGCAGCTCCGTTGAAAGAAAATGTCAGTATTGTTCACATAAGCACCTTCGGGCCGCCGTCTCGGTTTCCCACCAGCTGTGTTTGCAGACTGCAGTGGGAGCGGATGGATCGCAGGAGGGCAGATTAGGACTGTCCCGCCTGAAATGACATTTCACTGAGAGTCTCCAAAACGTTTGTCAGACTACTAAGGCCTTTTATGTCATTTCTTTAAATGTGTATTTCTTAAGAATTCAAATTTGTAATAAAACTATTTGTATAAAAATTAAGCTTTTATTAATTTGTTGCTGGCAGTGCCACAGAAGCATTACAAGAAAAGTTACTGCCCGAGCCACTAATAAAGGTATGAGCTTTGCGTCCCTTAGATCATTTCCATGTCGCTCTTCGTTCCAATGAGAGGCCTAGCCCGGGGGAGGCTTACAGCGGCGGCCCCAAAGACACACACTGTGACTGCGCTCTTCCTCCTCCCGCCCACCGAGCTCCACCCATACCCTGAGCTGTCAGGAGGGCTGGCCATGTTCCAGCACAGCTGGAGTGAAGAGAAGCAGAGATGGAGAACGGCCACGAGCACCGCCCCGGCCACGAGACGTGGGTAAGGACTGAGCTTAGTACGCAAAGATAGGTGAGCAGAGGGCGGCACTCAGACGTTCGGGAAGCGGCCAGGGAAGAAGACGGCAGGTTTCTTTTCCTCGTGTTTTGACTTCGCTCGGTTATGGAGGCTGAGTGCGCTACTGCGGATCAGGAAAGGCTGTACGAGGTGTGCTCGGCCGCCTCACCTGAGGAGCAGGAGCAAGGGTCACCCAGGATGACATATGTAGCCGGAGCCCCACGTAGGTCAGGAGATAGCCAGCAAGGTCTGACTTTGGGCGCCTCCTCTCCTCTTTGGACAGAACTGATGGAAAGAGTTCTGTTTTTATTTTAAAATATATAGAATAGGGGGGAGGGGTCTTCACAAAGTTCATGGAAAATGCCTATTATGAAAAACCCATGCGTGCATTCAAAAACTTTTGAACCAAAATAAACTCATTCTTTAATTTGATTTTTTTCTTTCTTTTTTTTTGGGGGGGGGGAGAGGCTTTCGCTATAAGGGCGCGTGCGCTCGCCAGACAGACAGAGAGAGACATAAAGACAGAAAGCGAGAAATCACCCCCCAGGGGGGATGGTCACACCACAATCCCTTCTCCTCCATTCTCCACTTGGGATCTTGGGCACACACGCACACTTGCCCGGCATGAGTTCTAAGCCACCGGGCCCGGGGCGCGAACCATGGTCTACTACGTGGGAGTCCAGCAACATAGCCATTACGCTAACTGCTGGTTCCCTTAATTTGATTTTCTCTCCAAATCTTAAAGTCCCTCTGTAGAGAAGACAATGCAAGTCAGGCTTAGTTCCTGTTGGGGTTTCTGAGCGGTAGCAAACTCATCCCTACAGTAGCTATTTAGAGCATTTTGTTTTCATTTATAAAACCGATCTTCGTGCAACATGCTTTTATACACAGACAAGTTGCTTTGCATATGAAAGCATGATTATAAGACCCCTTTACCCAGCAGTCAGCTCGTGTGCACGTTGTAAGTTATTCTGAAAGCAATTTCCATTTTGTAAAAATTAACTTACAGTAAAACTCGCTTGTTTTGATGTTGGGTTCTGTGAATTACAGCACATGCATATTTTCGCACTACTGTCACCAAATCAGCACCCAGCGTACATTGCCCCAAAAGCCCTTCCAGCTCCTATTACATGGTTCCACCCCACCCACCTCTAGCTTGGAATCAACCTTTCCCCCATGGCTGCAGTTTACCCCAGAATGGGACAACACTGTCCGATCTTTCAGGCCGTCTTCTCTCACTCTGCGTGGTGCATTTGACATTCAGACTGTGCGTAGCAGTCGCTCGTTCCTTTTTACTGCTTAGTAGGATTGCGTTTTACAAACAGACAAACCACCTTTATGGTCTGCTCATCTGTGGGACATCTATCTTGGTCCTTTCCAGCTTTGATCTTGAATAGAGAAGAAGCACTACTCATGTTCAGTTTTTGTGAGAACATAAGTTTTCTTTTATTTAGAGTAAATACTCAGGACTAGGATTGCCATTTCATGTGGTAAGCATAGATTTAATGTTATAAGAAACTTCCAAACTTATTTATTTATTTTTGCCATAGGGTGCATGCGCTTGCTGGAGAGACGCGCAGAGGGAAAGTGACAAATCACCCCCATGCAAACCATGCTGCAATCCCCTGTATGTAATTCTTCTTTCAGGATTTTAGGTGCACATACACATACCTAGAGTGATGTTCAAGTGACCATGTCTGGGTTTCAAACTGTGGTCAGCCATGTGTGAGTCCAGCACCCAACCAACATGACACTTGCTAGATCCTCCCAGACTGTTGTGTTGTTGGAAAAGTCACAATGCATTTCTGCATAGAAAAATTCATCCTGACTTTTCTGACAGTCCAGTATTTTGCAGTGTTGCTGTACCATTTTGCATTTCCATCAGCAATGTCTGAGCACTCCAGTTGCTTCATGTCTTCACCAGCATTTGATGTTGTCAGTTTGTAGTAGGATTTAATTATGGCTTCAATTTTCGTTTCTCTAATGATTAATTATAATGACTGACATTTTTTGTTCATCAATATATCTTCTGTGAGTTAAATCTGCTCATTTACAAAAAATAGAAGTTGTTTTCATAACAGTTAAGTTCTAAAAGTTTTTTGTACATTCTGGTTACATGTCCTTTTCTGGACATGTGATTTGCAAATTCATCCTCTTGATCATTTCTTCCACAGAACCAAAGTTTTTAATTTTGATGACATAATTTATCAGTTTCATTTCATTTCATGAGACATGTTTTTGTATGATATGTATAGGAATCTTTGATTTGTTCTAGTCCTTAAGATATTCTCCAGTGTTTTCTTCAAAAGTTTTATAATTTTTACATATTACATTTAGTATGTGATCCACCTATGGTTCATTTTTTGTTGCCTTAATTGTGGTGAAATTCACATAACATAAAATTCTCCATTTTAAAGTAAACAGATAGCAGCATTTAGTACTTGCACAATGTGGTGCGACCACCTCCTGCCATTTGGTTTCAGAACATTTAGCACACCAGACCCCATACCATCCAGCAGTTGTGCCCCATCCATCTGTCTCCCCAGCCACTGGGAAATAACAGTTTACTTTGTGACTCTGTAGCTTTACCTACCCTGGATATTTTACACAATCGAATGATACACTATGTGAGTTTTGTGTCTGATTTCTTTCACTTAGCGTGGTGTTTTTGAGGTTCATCCATGTTGTAGTATGTATCAGTGCTTCTTTCTCATTATGGCTGTAGAATGTCCAATCATTTGCCTATCTGCTTGTTCAGTCATGGACATTGGGTCTGTTTTGCTAAGCCATTTCGCTACTTTGAACTGTGTTACTAGAAGCATGCATGCACAGGTATTTGAGTCCTTGTTTTCAATTCTTTTGTATATATACTTGAAGTAGAATCTCTGAGTGATGTGGTTACTCTGTGTTTAAATTTTTGAGGAATTGGCAAACTGTTTCCCCTGGAGACAGAACCATTTTACAGTCTTGCCAGCAATGTATGAGGATTTCAATTTCTCCTCATACTTGTAAAATTTGTGATTTTCCCATTTTTGATTGTAGTCTTCTTGGTGGGTGTAAAGTGGCATCTTGTGGTTTTGATTTGTATTTCTGCAATTATTATTTTGACACATTTATCAAAAATTACTTGGCCATAGGTAATGAATTTTATAATCTGTGTAATTTTTTAAAATGATGTGTTAAATGTAGATTAAGATTCATTACTTTCTTTCTTTTTTTCTTTTTTTTTTAAGAGAGATTTTTGCTTTAGGGCACATGTGGCTTGCTGGAGAGACAGAGAGACAGAAAGCAAGAAGTCACCCCCCAGGGGAGATGACCATTTCACAGTCCTTTCTCCTCTCAGGATTTTGGGCATGCACGTACATGCACCCAGCATGAGTTTAAGCCACTGGGTCTGGGACTTGAACCACAGTCAACTGTGTGGGAGTCCAGTGATGCAACCATTTGCCATCTGTTGGTCCCCAAGGCTCATTACTTTCTACATAGGTATTCAGTTCTTGAAACAATTAATACAGATGTTGAGCAGCTTTTCATGTGATTGTTGGCCATTTATCTTATTTGAAGACATATCTGTTCAAGTTCTTTGTCATTTTTAAGTTGGGTTATCTCTTTGTTATTTAGTTATAAAGTTTTTTTTTTTTTCTATAAGGTTCATGCACTCACTGGAGAGAGACAGGAAAGAGAGAGATGGAAAGTGAGAACCCCACAGGTGGGATGGCCACACTACAATCCCTTGTCCTCTATTCTCCTCCTGAGATTTTCTCCTTTATTCTCTCGAAATTTGGAGCATGCACATGCATGCCTGGTGTGTTTTTCAAGCCACCAAGTCTAGAACTAGAACTGTGCTTTTGGCAATATGGGATCCAGCCATCACATCACTGGCTGGCCCAGTTAGTTTGGGTTTTGTTTTTGTTTTAATCATCTGAACACTTAACTCTTATCACATATATGGTTTACAAAAATATTCTGCCATTCTATAGGTTGTACTTTTACTTTCTTTATTTCTTTTAAGAGATTTTGGCTATAGGGCATGTGTGCTCACCAGAGAGACAGAGAGATGGAAAGTGAGAAATCACCACCCCGAGGGGCTGGCCACACTGTGGTCCCTTCTTCTTTATTCTCTTCTCGGGATTTGGGGCACACAGGCACACATGCCCAGTGGGAATTTAAGCTGCTGGGTCTGAAACTGCAGTCAGCTAGGTAGGAGCAATGTAAACATTACACCATTTGCTGGTCTCTGCTTTCACTTTCTAAAACAATATGCTTTAGTACAAAAAAGTTCTGAAGTTGATGAGTATGGTTTTCCTACTGTTACTTAGAATCTATTGCCAAATCCAAGGTTGTAAATGTTCACCTCTAAGAATTTTTACGTTTTAGCGCTTACACTTAGGTCACTAATCTACTGTCAGTTAATTTTTGTGTATAATATGTAGAAGGGATCTGATTTCATTCTTTTATGTGTGAGTATCCAACTGTTCCAGCACCATTTACCAAAGAGACTACCCTTTTCTCACAATTATTTTTGACCCCTTTTGTCAGAAATCAGTTGCTACAGATGTATGGATTTTCTGATCTGTTTACTTTTAAAAAATTATGTATTAGATGCATTAGATTAAGGTTGATTATTTTGCCCATAGGTATTCAATTCTTAAAACACTTCATGAAAAAGGCTGTAATCTCCCCATTTTTACCTAGAAATTGAATATAGGTGTGGTATTATTCAGGTTATCTATTTTATCTTGGATAAGTTGGATAGCTTTTCCTTTCAAGGAGTATTTCATATTAATTTGTCAAATTTGTGTGTAGAGTTGTTTATGGAATCTCTCATCATGTTTATGTCTATGACATCCTCTATTTCTTTTCTGATATTAAAATTTTGTATCTTCTGTTAGTTTATCAGTATTAGAGATAATCATTGATAATTTTTTCAAAAGACTAGCTTTTGGCTTCACTGATTGTTTTCCTTACTGTTTTTATGCTCTTAATTTCATCAATATTTTTGCTCTTATCTTTATTATTTTCTTTCATTCTCTTGAGTTTTTTTTTGCTCTTATTTTGAATTTCTTTTGCTCTTATTTTCTAGTTTTTAAAGATATTTAGATGACTGATTTGAGACTTAATAAAATAAACATTTAATGCTATAAATGTTCCTGTAAGCACTTATTTATCTGCATCCCATATATCTTATGTTGTATTTTCTTTACATTCAGTCCCAAAAATTTCTTAAATTCCTTGAGAATTTTTTGCTTCATGCTTTATTTGGGTGTGATTAATTTCCACCTGTTTTTAGATTTTTCTGTTACTTTTTTTTGCTATGTGGTTTAATTTCATGGTGATGATAGAACATACTACATATCATTTCAATAATCTTACATTTGTGGGAACCAGCAGTTAGCGTAATGGCTATGTCGCTGGACTCCCATGTAGTCGACCATGGTTCACATCCCGGATCCGGTGGCTTAAAACTCACGCCGGGCGCGTGTGCGTGCGTGCCCAAGATCCCAAGAGGAGAATGGAGGAGAAGGGATTGCGGCATGACCATCCCCTCTGGGGGGTGATTTCTCGCTTTCTATCTCTCTGTCTCTCTCTGTCTGTCTGGCGAGTGCACGTGCCCTGTAGCGAAAACCTCTCAAAAAAAAATAATAATAATCTTACATTTGTTAAGGTATTTTTTTAAGACCTAAGAGATAATCTTTCTTGGTGAATGTTCTATGCACAACTGAAGAGAATAGGGGCTTGCAGGTATTGTAGTGGTTAGGGTGTTGGACTCCCACATTGCTGACCACAGTTCAAGTCCCAGACCTGGTGGCTTGCTTCTCACCCTCTCTCTTTCTAATCAAATTATTATTATTATTATTAATAAATATAATTAAACAAATATCTTTTTAAAAGAATATTCACTTTACTAGTTATTGTTCTGTAAGTGTCAGTCAGGATCCATTTGGTTACTGATCCTGACCAGTTTTTAAATATCTGTTAATTTTCTATCTATTTTAGTTTTATCATCTACTGAGAGATGAGTATTGAACTTCCTATTATTAGTTAAGGAGTTTTCAATGCCTCCCTTCAGTCGGGACATTTTTCTTTATCTACTGCTAAGCTCCATTAGTAGGTGCACACATATTTAGTGCCGGTAAGTCTTCCTGGTGAGCTGATCTTTTATTATGCTGTGCGCTCCTTTGTTTCTGGTGATGACGTTTTGCTCTGATATCTACTTTATCTGATATTAATAGGGTCATTCCCCCATCTTTCTTAGGATTAGTGTTGCTTGGTATATCTTTTGTGTTCTTTTTATTTTTTTTAGAGAGAGATTTTTGCTATAGGATGCATGCGCTCACTGGAGAGACAGACAGAGAGACAGAAAGCAAGAAATGACACCTCAGGGGATGGCCACACTGCGATCCCTTCTCCTTTATCCTCCTCTGTGGATTTTGGGCACACACATACATGCACCTGGCATGAGTTTAGGTCGTCGGGTCCGGGACTCAAATGATGTGGGAGTCCAGTGATGTAATCACTATGCCATTGCTGGTCCCTCCGTTTATTTTATTTATTTTTTTGGAGAGGTTTTCGCTATAGGGCGCATGCACTCGCCAGACAGACAGAGAGAGACAGAGGGACAGAAAGTGAGAAATCACCCCCCAGGGGAGATGGCCACATCGCAATCCCTTCTCCTCCATTCTCCTCTTGGGATCTTGGGCACGCACACACATGCGCCTGGCGTGAGTTTTAAGCCACCCAGTCCGGGACGCGAACGGCAGTCGACTACATGGGAGGCCAGCAACATAGCCATTATGCTAACTGCTGGTCCCGTCCCTCCGTTTTTTTAAAAGAATGATTTTTTATTTAACTGTATTATTATTATTATTTAATTTGAGAGAGAGAGACAGGGAAAGTGAGAAACAAGCCAGTAAGTCCGGGACTTGAACCACAGTTGTTTACGTGGGAGTCCAGTGCCCTAACCCACCACGTCACCTGCCAGCTCTTCTCCTTTGTGTTTCTTTTACTTTAATCCTATCCATATCATTATTTCTGAAGTGAGATTCTTGCAGACAACATATAGTTGGTTCATAGTTTAAAAAATCTATTCTGGCAGTCTTTGCCCTGTTTAGTTTTTTGATTTTTTTTTTTTAAGGTTGTTGCCAGAGCACGTGTCCTCACCAGAGAGGGGTACAGAGTGAGAGTGAGAAGTCACCCCGAGGAGGGGTGCCTAAGATTCAGTCCCCTCCTCCTGGGATTTCGGGCATGCAGGCATGTGTGTATGCGTACACACACACACACACACACACACACACACACACAGCATGATTTTCAAGCTGCCAGACCCAAAACACAAAATGCGTTTGGGCATGTGGGACTCCAGTGCCTTAACTGCCTTGCCACATACTGACCCCCCAATCTTTGTATTTTAATTGGTCTGCTTAGACTGTGTTTATGTTTCGTTTATTAGTATGTTTGCATTTAAGGCTAACATTTTATTACTTGTCTTTTAATTTATTACTTCTGATTTTTATTTCTCCTTTCTGTTATTTAAACACTGTCGAGTATGCTATTTTAGTCTTATCTGCTGTGTTGTTTACTATACATGCACGTTTTTTAAATTCAGGAGAAGCACAGTCTACTGTATTTGCCCAAGTGCTTCTCGTGTCTCTCTTTCTCCCTTTATTCCGGATGTCCCGAGTTTTCTCACACGCTCTGCTTGTGTCCAAAGAACTTCCGTTTGCACCTCTTTTAGACTAGGCCTGCTGGTGATGAGTTGGTTTTTACTTTTTGTCTACAAATGTTTTTAGGGGCTGGGCCATGGTACGGCAGTAGCACAGGGCTTGCAAAGCTGACCCACATGGGGCTGAGGTCTGGGTTTGCCATCCGGAGACTTCCTGCACACACTGGGCGTGGGCGTGATTCGGGGCTGGTTGGGGTCGGCAGTGAGTCGTATGAGGATCCTGTTGGGATGCCTGTCACATCTCTCCTTCTCTTGTGAGAGAAAGAAATAAATACACTTTTTAATAAAGAGAAAATGTCAGGACCAAGAGATGGCATAGTGATTATGTCACTGGACTCCCATGTAGTTGACTGTAGTTCGAGTCCCGGACCTGGTGGCTTAAAACTCATGCCAGGTGTGTGTGTGTGTGTGTTTGTGTGTGTGTGTGTGTACCCAGTATTTCCAGAGGATAATGGAGGAGAAGGGATTGTGGTGTGGCCATCAACCCCCCCCACCCAGGGCTGATTTCTTAATTTCTGTCTCTTTGGTAAGTGCACATGCCCTATAGCAAAAATCTCACTCTAAAAAGAGTCTTTCTCTTACCTTTTCCTGAGAAATACTTCTCCTCAGACAGAATTCTGGCAATCCCTTTCTTTCGGCAATTCAGAATGTTGTTTCTTTTCTTTCCTGTGGTCTCTATGGTTTCTGATAAGAAGCCTTCACTCCTTCACATCACTTTTCCCCTCTACGTATTGTTCTCTGGCCACTTTTAAGATTTCTCATGTCTTTAATTCCCAATTAGTTATGACATGTCTGGGTATAATTGGGTTCTCTGAGCTTTTTGCATCTGTAGATTTATGTCTTTCTCCTATGGAAAGTTGCTCATTTGGGACTGAGCAAGCCGGTGACTGGGTTGGGTTCCAGGCTGCACGTCCCCTTCCCCTGTGGCTCCCACACAGGTCCATGGGTGGCAGCTTTTGATCCGTCCTGTGTACCACCAGCGGCCTACTTGGGTGTGGGCAGTGTGGGCAGTTCTTGGTCATTGGCAGGCTGTTAAGAATCAGACTTATGCCTGCTAAGATCAAAGGCAAGCCCAGGAGCTCATAAAAAAATCAATAAATAAAAACATTACGAGGGCTCCCTCCTGAGCTCCAACCACCTCATGCCACTCACATCACTCTCTGGTTTCCTGGGGTTTCTCTTTTTATTCCTTCTCCATTGAACAGGCTCTCAACTTCCCTCACTCTGCACACACTTCCCATGGCTTTCTTGCCCAATCCATCTGCTACCATTTATTTTCAGTCTTCTCCTTATTATTTTTTTAATTGCGAGAGGGTATGTACACTCACCAGAAAGATAAAGAGGAGAAGAGAGATGCAGCTCCCAGTAGGGTGCGGTCATGCCACAATCCCTTCTCCCCATCTCTTCATATGTTGGTATTTGGGGAATGCATGGACATGTCCCTGGCATGTTAAACTACCAGGACCAGAACTCAAACCACAGTTGGCAATATGGCGTTGGCTACAAGGCCTAGCACTCCCTTCAAAGTCTGCTAATAGCTGCCCCAGGCGTGCAGTGGGGAGACAGCTAAGTGTGCTAGGCACTCTTACCTGGAACGGGCACCAGCCACATCACCAGTGCAGACACGTGGAGAGTGCTAGCTTCCACGGCTCCAAGTATGACGTAGCTGTGCAAATAAGAACAACAGCTCGACCTGGCTCCTCTGCAACACCCTCCCCTCTTCTCTGCTGTGGGTGCCCTGCAAGTCAGTGTTTTAGTTAACTGCTATGCAAGGGCTTTTCTATGTTAATAGCCAGGTGCTGGCTCTTCCCTGCACCTCCTGTTACTGCTAACTGTCTAAACACGCCTGGGCTCGTTCTCATTTTAGGCACCACTGTTTTCACATGAGAATTCCCCACATCCTAGGGCCTGGATGCTCAGCCCATACCCTCACAATCTGTATCTGATCTGGCGTGTGGACAGGTGACGGCACTCTGTTGGACTCACGGAAGTAGACAAGTTCGGATTCAGATTCTGACCCAGTCACTTACGTGCGTGTGGCCTCGGAGAAGGTGTTAAGACCTCTCAGAGTTCGGCATCGCTTAGGCCGTTCTTATTGCAGTTATTCCTGATCAGAATCATGGATGCCAGCACCTGCAGGAAGAGGAATGTGTGTGTGTGTGTGTGTGTGTGTGTGTGTACCCAGTATTTCCAGAGGATAATGGAGGAGAAGGGATTGTGGTGTGGCCATCAACCCCCCCCACCCAGGGCTGATTTCTTAATTTCTGTCTCTTTGGTAAGTGCACATGCCCTATAGCAAAAATCTCACTCTAAAAAGAGTCTTTCTCTTACCTTTTCCTGAGAAATACTTCTCCTCAGACAGAATTCTGGCAATCCCTTTCTTTCGGCAATTCAGAATGTTGTTTCTTTTCTTTCCTGTGGTCTCTATGGTTTCTGATAAGAAGCCTTCACTCCTTCACATCACTTTTCCCCTCTACGTATTGTTCTCTGGCCACTTTTAAGATTTCTCATGTCTTTAATTCCCAATTAGTTATGACATGTCTGGGTATAATTGGGTTCTCTGAGCTTTTTGCATCTGTAGATTTATGTCTTTCTCCTATGGAAAGTTGCTCATTTGGGACTGAGCAAGCCGGTGACTGGGTTGGGTTCCAGGCTGCACGTCCCCTTCCCCTGTGGCTCCCACACAGGTCCATGGGTGGCAGCTTTTGATCCGTCCTGTGTACCACCAGCGGCCTACTTGGGTGTGGGCAGTGTGGGCAGTTCTTGGTCATTGGCAGGCTGTTAAGAATCAGACTTATGCCTGCTAAGATCAAAGGCAAGCCCAGGAGCTCATAAAAAAATCAATAAATAAAAACATTACGAGGGCTCCCTCCTGAGCTCCAACCACCTCATGCCACTCACATCACTCTCTGGTTTCCTGGGGTTTCTCTTTTTATTCCTTCTCCATTGAACAGGCTCTCAACTTCCCTCACTCTGCACACACTTCCCATGGCTTTCTTGCCCAATCCATCTGCTACCATTTATTTTCAGTCTTCTCCTTATTATTTTTTTAATTGCGAGAGGGTATGTACACTCACCAGAAAGATAAAGAGGAGAAGAGAGATGCAGCTCCCAGTAGGGTGCGGTCATGCCACAATCCCTTCTCCCCATCTCTTCATATGTTGGTATTTGGGGAATGCATGGACATGTCCCTGGCATGTTAAACTACCAGGACCAGAACTCAAACCACAGTTGGCAATATGGCGTTGGCTACAAGGCCTAGCACTCCCTTCAAAGTCTGCTAATAGCTGCCCCAGGCGTGCAGTGGGGAGACAGCTGAGTGTGCTAGGCACTCTTACCTGGAACGGGCACCAGCCACATCACCAGTGCAGACACGTGGAGAGTGCTAGCTTCCACGGCTCCAAGTATGACGTAGCTGTGCAAATAAGAACAACAGCTCGACCTGGCTCCTCTGCAACACCCTCCCCTCTTCTCTGCTGTGGGTGCCCTGCAAGTCAGTGTTTTAGTTAACTGCTATGCAAGGGCTTTTCTATGTTAATAGCCAGGTGCTGGCTCTTCCCTGCACCTCCTGTTACTGCTAACTGTCTAAGTACCACGCCTGGGCTCGTGCTCATTTTAGGCACCACTGTTTTCACATGAGAATTCCCCACATCCTAGGGCCTGGATGCTCAGCCCATACCCTCACAATCTGTATCTGATCTGGCGTGTGGACAGGTGACGGCACTCTGTTGTACTCACGGAAGTAGACAAGTTCGGATTCAGATTCTGACCCAGTCACTTACGTGCGTGTGGCCTCGGAGAAGGTGTTAAGACCTCTCAGAGTTCGGCATCGCTTAGGCCGTTCTTATTGCAGTTATTCCTGATCAGAATCATGGATGCCAGCACCTGCAGGAAGAGGAACAACCCGATTGGCTACCCTCATCCACCATCCGTTCACTCCCTCCTCACTTCTTCCATCCAGATCATTCGGAAGATCATTCCGTGTTCAACCTCCACCCTTCATGTACCCCTTTGTCGGTCCGGCCTGACCGTCCACCCGGTGTGTGGACAGCTGCATGCGCATGCACTCGCCCCTCACCCATTGCTCATCTTCACGGTCTGTGTGTGCCCGTTCTCGGGAACTAGGGAGGTACATGGGAAACAACTGCGAATAAGCAAGCCCATAAGAAGTGGTCTGAAAAAAAAAAACGTGAAAGAAACTTGTCTCTAGTCAAATATGTAAAATGAGGTGAAAGCTGGGATCGGCAGTGGTGGCTTGACTTCATCACACCGGGTCCTTCCCAGACGCTCTGCATCCTGGCCTGCCCTGCGGGTCACTGATCCCTCCACCCTGACAATCAGGAGAGAACAGGAGCCAGGGATAGGGACGTCGACCTCGCTGGCCAGGTTCTGTGGGAGTTTGCCCCAGCAGCTCCACGAAGGCTGGAACGGCTGGAACGAGTCTGCTCCAAGTGACGTACCCTGGGGTTGCGACCCGCCCCCGTGCGACGCTGCCACCTCTGCAGGAGGAGCTCAAGACTCCTTCCGCCCCGCGCCCACCTGCGGGAGGCGCCCCCTCCCTCCCCTGCGCCGCAGCACGTTGACTGCAGCCGCGCTGAATCACCGTTTCCGCAGCCCCCGCGGGCAGCGCTTCCTCCAGGAAGCCGGGTTTGTGCGTCCTCCGCTGCGCGTGGCCCGCGCGTCCCGCTCTCCGCGGACTCGCCTGAAATAGGCGCGCACGTTCCCGCTGCGCCCCGCGCCGCCCGCAGCATCTGTGCGCACGCACCGCGCGGGCTGAGTCACCGCGCACTGAGTCACCAGCAGGGACCAGGAAATGCCTTTTTTAGACTTCCAGCCTTAAGTAGAGCTGCGGGTGACTTCCACCTGGTGTTGTGTTTTATCCCTGATGTCGCCGCGGATGAGTCCTTGCCGGAGTTGCACGTTCCCACGCGATTTCCTTGATTGGCCGCTTAGGGCACATTTCCGCACAAGTACCCACGCACCTGTCCGAAAGGCTGTCTGACGCGAAGTGGGAAATCCTGCCGGGAAGAAGTGTGCCTGCATTTAAGCCTCAGTAGACCCCGCCATCCACGGGAATCTCCGGGGCGGCTGCAGGTGGCGCCCCGTCCTCTTCCTCTGACGTCCTGTCCTCCAGGGCTGCGGGTTTTGGTAAATGGGCCGCAGCTCTGCCAGTGGGACTGGGTGGTCACCGACGTGGCCCTGAAGCACATTGCTGCGTCCTAGTTAGGGTCTAGGCCAGGTGCAATTTTAAAATGTGACTGTTGGAAGGAAAGCAGGTGGAGAAATACTCCAAATATACTGAATGCACTTTCGCCAGAGTTTGTGACTGAATTATGGTGGTGAAAATATGGCAAGAACGCGCTTTTGAAAAATTGTGAAGGGCATGCGTCTTCACTGCTTCATGGTCTCCTGAAGAAGCCTTCCTTGCCATTGTTTCGGTAAATCCCATTCTGGGGCACGGTGCCTGCCTCCCGGCATGGCTCACAGCTTTGCCAAGCTGGGAATGACAGCCTAGCCTCGGGCCTGAAAGGCAGGTGTTCTCGGACCTCTGGGCTGAAGTGGTACGTCATGGCGGGGAAGACCTGCCAGGGAATCTACCGGGCAAGCCAGCCTGAGCCCATCTTCCTCAGCAGGGGCTGCTAAGCTGGCACCGACAGACTCTCCACGTCTGTTGGAGCTGGTCACTAGGTCACACTGAAGAGAGGCCTGGGTTCCGCCCACAGTGCTCCAAGAGAGCTCAGACAGCTGGGCAAGTGCCTGCCCTTCCCGCAACCCCCTGCTGGCCTCCTCAGATGCACCCCTTCCTGGGTGGTTGCTGAGGCCTGGGTCAGCAGGGCCTGTGCTTGCCCTCCTGTGCAGCTGAAGGGGCCTGCCTGGCCCACAGCGACTTGCTGTGAGCTTTGTCTGGGGGCCTGGGTGGGGCCGAGCTCAAGCTCTCCTGGCCCTCTGGGAAGGGGTCTCTAATGATGAAGGGATCCTAGCCCTGAGAGGCAGGGACACCAGCATGCGGGCAGAGACTGCAGCTTGAATGGGGTGGGGGTGGGGTAGCAGAAACTCACCTGCAGGTCCCTGGAAGGAGCCCCGCAGAACCAGCAGGCCAGGGCAGAGGTGACAGCCACCCTACCCTGCCTGGTCCCTAGCCCCGGGGGAGTAGCACCAGAAGAAGGGGAGAAGATGCCAGCAGGACCACGCCCAGAACGGCTTGCTTATCCGTGGCGTATTCCGTGGGCACCGCGGGCAGGTGCCAAACCCTATGGAGCTCCTCTTCTTTTTAAAAAATTATTTTAAAATTCATTTTTTCTATGTGTATGTGTGAGAGAGACAGAGAGACAGAGAGAGAGAGAGACTGAGAGAGACAGGAAGCCCAGGGGAGTCCTCACACCCTAATCTTCCCCAGTCTCAGCTAGCCTTGGTCATAGGCACATCCACGCTTGCCAGGTGTGCTTGGAGAGGTTTCTGGACTTGAACCCAGGGCCTTTTCCACATGGATCCAGTTGTGTCACCATGGGACCACATCCAGTCCCTGGAACTCTTCTTAGAAAGAAAAGCTCTATTTTAAAGCACACAATGAGATACATAAGAGATTATAAAGAAAACCCTGCCACCAGCATGCACTAGCAGGTGAGGAGGTGTTCCAGGCAGTGCAAAGGCACACACGCCCCCACGCCCCCATGCCCCACACCGGCCTCCCCGGGAACAACGTAACACTGGGCACAGGCAGGCATTAGGAACCACACTGCAAGGAGGTTTGCACGGGAGGGTACACAAATCCTCTATTTCACATCCCTAGAGAACCGTACTGTCAAATTTGGGACCTGCCTTCAGAGCGTGTGCAGAATGGAGTTTTGTGTGGATGGTATTTGTGGTCCCAAAACTGCCTGGTGCGGTGTGGCAGCAGTGGCTGCATCTCACGTGGCCCACCAGGGACTCAGGTCCTGGGGCGTAAGTGTGGCGCTCGCAATCCCACGAGGAGGAAGAGGGAGAGAAATGACTGAGTACTGCGCCCACGGAGGGCACTCTCTCCGCCCTTCTCTGTCTCAGTCCAGAGTCTGCCCCCGCCAGCAAAACGAACCCGAACAAACAAGCAGACAGCTGAGGTCGGAAAGCACATCAGCCACGTGGAGGTGGGTGCGAGGTAGGTCGGGGAGACACACTCGGCCATGTCTGTCAGCCCTGTGATATGACGTGCCTGTGACCAAGTGACTCAGCGACTGGTGGGTTGTGGGCGGGGGTCCCTCTCTACACCTCTGCTGCCCGCTGGAGGCTCAGTACTGGTGCCTCCCCCCCCCCACCCGTGGTTTTTATCCCCTCACAAAGCCTAAG